GATATGTTGCCAGTTCAGTTTTTAGATGACCCTGTTCTTCCAGTTCGAAATGAAATCATGAAAGGATTATGTGATTGTGTACGAAGCCCATATGAGTTAATTTCACTGCCAGCTGTTAGGTGAATTTAATTGCCAAGAGAATATTCGGTTTATATTATTACCATTAACATTGATATTTATTTTGTTTATTGAAGTTTACTTGGAAAATTTGGAGGTCTCAATAGAAGTTCAGTTATGAATACAGACCCCCTTAAAGCTCAAGATCAATTTCATCAAGTTTCTAAGAAACCTAAAATATGTTTGACGTTTGATGGCTATAACAATACCTTATTAGAAATGAATGTTGCACCTGTAAGTAAAAAATAAGGAATGATTTAAGGGTAATATTTTGCAGTTATATTAATAGATTGGTTTTGGTTATCCTTTATACAAATACAATATAAATAATGGGAAGAATTAAACATTTAATTTTTTTACTTAAATGATATACTTTTAGTCAAATTAAATTTTGTTATGATTCAACTTTAAATTATTTGTATAAATTCAATTTATACATTTGATGACTGTCCTAGAACATAGTATATTAAATTATTCATTGAAACTTTTATTAATTATAAATTAAGTATCATAATTTTTACAGATTTTATTTCATCAATATCTATTAAAAATGTTCTCCTTCTTTGAATTAAATTGTAAATTATCTAAACACTATTTATTTATTTTTTTATGTGTTATAGGGTATACACACTGCTGTCCAAGCTCTAATTTTGGATGATGATGAATTCATTAGATTACAAAGTTGGAATGTTATAAGTGGGTATCTAGTGATATCAATGGAATATGATTCTTATAGAATTTCACAATTACTGTCAAATATCAAGTATTATAATTTAGCATTTTATAATTTTTGGCATTCGTGTAACTGGTGATTTGTGAATTAAGGACAAATAATCAAGTAATCTACGTACAAATTAAAAACTGTCTTGGGTGTTTGTTACTGTTAAWGGGCCGACAACATTTTTAGAATGGTTTACAGTCAAGTGATTATATCCGTATAGTAAAATTATTATATACTTATATACTATAAAACAATAATATGTAATAATAATTGTAGATCACCAACTGCACTTAATATAATACGATAGATTACCTGATACGCCTAAAATTAAGTAGTAGATCACCTGCTACACGAATGCCTAATTTTTAATTATTAGTATTTTYTTCTAAACCTTAATGACCTACTTATATAATATTTATGTGAAAGTTTCTTCATTATTTCGGTATGCAATATTTAACTTATTTCTAATTTAAGCACGGTTGAAATAGTATAATAATCTATTCAACATTTATTTTATACACAAAAATTAAATTTACATGGTCTCAGATAATTTGTAAAATAATTATTTAATGTCTTTTAGAACATTAAGAAATTAATTTAGTCTTTATTTTAGAAGATGGTTTGTAAATTATTTGTTATGTATATATATAAGATTAATGTATTCTCTACTATAACTGTTATCGCTTATATGTAAAATAGTTAACATTAATGTCAAAAAGGGCTAAGGCCGTTTAACTAATAAAAATAAAAATAAATTATAGAATTAAATATAAATTATAGTAAAATAATAATTATATTTAAAGTTTTAAAATACTCTCTGAGTGGCCAGAGTATTCCACTCGAAAAATTTCGGCATGATAAAATACCCACAGGTTGGGTTACAGTCACTAAGGCTACCTAAAACACACAACACAAAAAAATTTTTTTTTGGAAATCATTATTAAATATTAAATTATT